CCTTCCCTTCCCTTCCCTTCCCTTCCCTTCCCTTCCCTTTTTTCAAGTTTATTTATTTATTTTGAGCAGGAGGAGGGGGGAGCAGAGACAGAGCATCCCAGGCAGGCTCTGTGCTGCCAGCGCAGAGCCCAGTGTGGGGCTTCAACCCACCAGCCGTGAGATCGTGACCTGAGCTGAAACCTAGAGCCGGACGCCTGACCACTGAGCCACCCAGCACCCCCAGCCCGCTTGGTCTTTTGTCAGAGTTAAGAGAGAAGAAGCTGAGAAGAAAATAATCAGAAAGTAGAGACTGAGGTGAGAGTGGACGTGGCTGACATCCGCCTCGCCCACCATTTGGCCTTTTAAACTATGTAACGTGGCCACGCAAATGGAGGGATATTGCAGAGCGCGACAGACGTGTGAGTCTGTGCCAGACCAAGAAAGGGCTGAAAGACCGCGGAAGACCCAGCAGCCTCTCTATCCTTTTCCTTTTCTTTTTCCGGTACGGGCCACACCCAACATGGGGCTTGCGCTCAGGACCCTGAGATTGAGACTCACGCGTGCTCCTGACTGCGCCAGCCGGGTGCTCCCTTATGGCTTGATCCGGCAGGTTTTGGGGGAGACAAAGTCACATTTGGAGGAAAGTCTCTCCCGAAATCGCAGGTGGACCCTGACCCCGGCCGCGGTGCCGCAGCGGGGACTGCCCTCCCTCTGCCCTCTCGCCTCCAACAGCTGAAAACCCAGACGTGCTTCAAGACACAGTGATGTCCAGACGTGGGACAAGGGGCAGAACAGGGCAGCGATCCCCGAGAGAGGGGAAATAAATGAGGTGGGCTCAAAAATTGCCCAAACTTACTGCCTGCGGAGAGTTTCCAGGCTGGCTGAGCCCGGTGGCCTCCCGGCTGGAGGAGAGGGACAGGGGACCCTGGGGGCCGTGGGGGCCGGTGCGGAGAGGGGCAGGCTCGGCAGGCTCGGCAGAGAGGGCTCCAGAAGCCCGCGGAAGGCCCACCCCAGGCTGCGGCCTTGCAGGGCAGTGCTTGCACGCACGGAAGAGCCGGAGGCGAGAAGGGCCAGTGCTGAGCGCCGCCGGGGCCAGGATTACTTTGTGTTCCCGTCAGCCCGAGCGGAAAGACCCCCCCCCC